CACACACACACACACACACACACACACACACACACACGTGCGCGCGTGTTATGAACCTGGTTGCTTGTTGTCAAAAGACCAACACTCGCACACATAGACTCCCAGGTATGCACATACATACACAGAAGGAAGGGGAGAGGATGGGAGTATCACACCACACAAGGAGAGATAAACACAGCGAAAGACTTGACCATGCGATATGACAGGGAACACTGAAAGTGCACCTCACTCCACAGAATCCTCACAACCAGTCACAAAAGAAAGTCGAGTAGATCACATCCAAGAAACAATGATAGTCCAAACCCAGTATCAACACTGTTTATTCAACTCGGAATCTCGAATTGTCCGGATAACCCCATAACTATGGTGCGCTGCTCTGAATTGAGCAGCGCTTCACTCCCCAACCCTGAGCAACCACTATTACTACCCTAGACATGAAGCATCAAGTGCCACCCAGATACAGCCTCCAGAAGGCAGCGCCACCCTGAAACAGGTCTCTGAGGCCAAGCACCTCTAAGGGAAGAAGAAGAAGATCAGCGCCACAGTATCTGATGATGATAAAGTGCCACATGACTTCCCGGGTGGAAGTCTACAACACTCTTATCAAGATGATCTCTGAGAAAGAAGTTGCAGCTATGGCTGCAGCGCCACAGACCCTGTAACCCTATTCCAGAAGAGGGTCAAGTAGGGCACCAACTTCTCTCACCTCCAGCAGACTTCACTAGCTTGGACCTCTGGCAGCCCCACATGCTGTCAGAGTACAGCGCCAGTCCCAGCTATGGCTGACACTCCGCAGGTCCAACTATGGCTGTCTCCTCCAACGCTAAAGTTGTTACCACTTCCTGTTCACTCGTTGCACAACTGCGATGTACACGGTACTAACTGCCAAAAACTCTGAACCGATGTCCTCTCCCTATCTGTAACCTACACTAGCCTAAACACGACCTAGACCAGACTGACTTGACCTATCGAGCGCATCGGTCCGACACCGCACAGGCAGCGCGGGACCCTCCCGGCCGCGTCACGCAGGAGTTGGTTTAAATCCTCGTCGCGAATATACATGGAGTTTCCGCAAGCCGCTCCGACCAAGTGCGCCAGCCATACCTCTCGCGAGCCCCTACGATAGAATAGGGTCTACGCGAGGCACGACTTACCTCCATCTTACGGGAGCTGTCACCTCCCTTCGGTGGGCGTATCCCCGCTGAGCTACCAGTCCACACTACGAAAGTTAATCAGCTGCAATCGCAGAGGTGAACCAGCCGAGGGCGTTTCTCGTTCGCTGTTGCCTAGGGGGTACGCGAGGTTTTATGCCTCTATCGGACCCGCACGCGAATCGACATCTTGGGGGGTTGAGGTCCCAAGCGCGACTCGTTGCCGATCAACTAGGACGCATCCCACACGCCACGCACACATCACTATAAAGAGCATAAAATAAAAGCGCACACGCACACTCACATATACAGAGCAACACAGGACAAACAACGCGACAACACTCCTAGTCCCTTAGTAGTCATCCCATAACTCTCTGATGCGGAAATTGGATAGGCGTCGCGCGCAAGGCTTAGTATAAAACTGCACGGACGCAGGGTTAACTCATATCGACTCGCAATGCAAGCATACGCAAACCGTCGCAATGATGACGTACTATGTAGTACCCATACTTATGCGGTTCTCGTTAATCTCGAGGGTCGCATTCGACACTCGAGTGTCGACTTACACGCGCCTTGAGGGAATGATCTCTCGACGCTGGACAACTGCCAAGTGCGGTTGAAAACCACACCCTCTTCCACACCCTGCGGAGAGTGGGTGGTACACAAGTTCATACTTGTGGTGGCAATCGTCTCTTATCGCCCTGGAGACCAGCTTTATCGTCCAGGGCAAATTAACGAGCAAAATCAATCAGTAAATAAATAAACATTCAACACTCATATATCAAATCAAAACTCTAGATAAAATCAAGGAAGGGAAAACATAAATCCATCAGGTATGCAGATCGTGTGTCACATGGTTGTCATTCTCACTGTCTTCAGGGTATGACTCATATACCAAGCTCTCAATACTAACCTGCATAAAACATAGGCACGCACAATAGTCACATTGACATACACCAATGTGGTCAACTTTACTGTTCCCTATAACTCACACCATGCCTCACACAGTCAAGCCCCAGTCATAATTCAACTTTCCATTAATCTCATAAGTTCTCTATAATGACAATTTAATAGAAGTCCGGTTAAAACCCTCAAAGAAACATATCAAATCTCAGGGCTAAGGCAATCAAGTTGAGGTATAGGTGTAAGCAAACTTGTGTCGTGAGCCGATGAGTCAGCGATCAATCAATCGACATGTTATCAGTGATAACAGAAAATGATCCTCGTAGGATCAAACTGAAGCTAGTCCAAA